ATCTTTTAAAAATGTAGGCATGATAAATGCTCATTTGTGCATTATAATGAAATATTTGTACTGAAACTATAACTAACTTTGCTAATCTATAATATATTAATTATCACATCAGTCATCAAGTGAAAATCATTTTTTGGAACCTTAAGCTCTAGTTCTCATTTCACACAGCTCCGTTCACCATCCTCTGGGATTCTTGTTTCGACGATTATAGCCTTGCCATAATTCAGTTGTTTCAATAATACTTTACTTTCATTTTTTAATATGTTTTTAATTTATAAATTGTAATAAATACTATAAAATCTTTGTTCATGCATATATTCACTGTTAGTAATTCTTAATTAATTAACATTCATATTCATTTAATTTATATTAATTAGAATTTCACTTTCACTTTCATGTAATTTTATTAATTATCAAATAATTAATATTCACATTTATTTAAGTAATATTAATTGAAAATTCTCATTCAAGAATGCAGTTCATTGTTTACGTCCATGCATGCTAATCATCATCTAGCTTAATTGAAAATTAAATTTTATTTATTTAGTATAAATGATTTGACATTCATCGTCACATATATATTCCTTGATATTAATTAGAAATTAATTAACATTTACTTTTAATTTATGTATCATATTTGTTATTCATCTTCATTTATACATTTCACCATTTATATACATGTATAATAATTAAAATTTATTTGTAGCAACTTGCATTTCTCTTATATTTTGATTAAAAAAGAAATGAAGGGTCAAACATTAATTTTACACCACTTATAAATTATTTTAGAATAACATAAAACGCACGTTCAACTTTGATTACTTAACAAAAAGATTAGACATAAGTGTAATAAAAAAAAATTGGAACAAACCTGAATTTATTTATTTATATTTACCTCAAAATTTGTATTTTAATACCAATAGAATATATAATTTCATTTTCCCTTTTTTCTTCACCCCCTCTCTCCCCTACACCCCAAAAATAAAATAAAATGATTTCTCTGTTCTGTCGTCTCATCACTTGTTAATGGAATAATCTTGTTTCTTCTATAAATATTCACAAACGCTTATTGATTTTTCTCCTGACTTCCAAAAATCTTCGGATATTCAATTTCAAATGGCAAACAAAGATCCATTGATGATAACAGATAAAGATGAAATGAGAAAGTGGTCAAGGTCGATGAGAGCACAAGGCAAGACAATTGGGTTAGTCCCCACCATGGGTTATCTCCATGAAGGCCATCTTTCCTTAATTCAAGAATCCCACAAACAAACTCACCTCACTGTTGTGTCAATTTATGTAAATCCAGGTCAATTTTCTCCCACTGAGGATCTCTCCACTTACCCTTCAGATTTGCTTGGTGATATTCAGAAATTAAAATCTGTTCCTGGAGGTGTTGATGTTGTTTTTAACCCCAAAAATTTGTATGATTATGGGAATAATGATAATGGGTGTGGGGTAGGTTTGGATCAAGAAGGGGGTAAGGTAGTGTCTTGTGTAGAAACAGGTGGAATGGGACATGAAACTTGGGTCAGAGTTGAAAGATTAGAAAAGGATTTGTGTGGGAAAAGTAGGCCTGTTTTCTTTAGAGGTGTTGCCACTATTGTCACCAAGTTGTTTAATATTGTTGAGCCTGATGTTGCTGTTTTTGGGAAGAAGGATTATCAGCAATGGAGGATAATCAAAAGAATGGTCAGTTACTTTCCTTTATCTCCTTTGATTTTTAATCTTATCCTAGATGTAGCATTGAATCGAGGTGGAAATGGATTTATGTACCTGAGTCTAAATTTATCGAGAAAAGATAGTTTATTTATTTGATTATTGGTTTGTTAGGACCTTGGGATGCTCTGTCGCGAATTTGTTAACTTTTGCATCTGTGCCAAAAATTTCAACCAAAACGTGCTTGGAAAGATGAAAGCTTTATCCTATCTGCCTGCTTGAGAGACAGTTGTTAACATGATAAAATGGAATAATTAAGATAATTAACTAGATGAAGGATCCGTTTTGGTATGACTTTTGAGAAGCCAAAAGGAGCTTTTGACATCTAAAAGCCATTTTTGGATCTGTTTGGTTAATCTTATTAAAAATTCTTCTTTTAGTTAGAAAAGCTTTTAGAGGAAACTCATCCAACGTGACTTTTTCAAATAGCTCTTCTGGAAGATAAAACTCTTTTAGAAATTAGTTTCCAAATATTAATTAAGATAGCTTCCTCATGAACCTCTTCTACAAGAAGTAGAAGTAGCAGCCTACCAGATGGGCCCAAAGTCAAGTAACAAATGACGAGCAAAATTATAATTTATATGTCTAATGGATGGCATGATGTATGAATGAATTACTTAATTTAATAGCAAATAAGGATATAATAGCTTTAGATTTTCCATTAGATCGTGAAATGTTGTGGACATGGAAGCGAAAAATGATTATGTAATTGACCCCAACTTATTGGAACAAGGCTTAGTTTGTTGTTGTAATAGTTGTTAATGGTCTTCTTTCATGTCACAGTAGTTCTGCATGTGTATGCTGGATTGCAAAAATTCATTAACTAATTTCATATATAGCTGGTTCTGTTATTAACATTTTTGTTCCTTCCTTTCAATGCACTAAAATTTCAGGGTTTTTTTTGGTTATGAAAGTGATGCTAAATTCAATTTTATGGACCCATCTTGATTATCCCTTTTCAGGTGCGAGATCTTGATTTTGGCATAAAAGTTATAGGCACAGAGTTAGCACGAGATGATGATGGCCTTGCGAAAAGTTCCCGTAATGCCCGCCTTTCACCTGATGACAGGCAAAAGGTCTCTTATACAAATTAATCTCACATTTTGAAGAACTGAAACTGCTCGAAATGTTTCTGTTCATATACTGTCCGTGTCCTTGAAAACTGTGGAAATAAAATACACGGATTGAGCAACATATAGTAAGCACATAAAGACGTGGTTCGTCTTCTTGAGTCCTTATATGGAATGAATACAATAATCAGTGCAGTGTCTAAGTCGTCTTCTTCAAAAACTATGCCTCATAAACGCTCCATTTGAAATTTTGGGGGGTCCAAAATCAGGTTGGATCAGAAACTGGACACATAAATTATCCAACGGAAAGGTTTTATGTAAATGCAATTGAAATAGAAATTTATTTTGATTATTGCAATGCCCGTAAAACATGGTTAAACATTCTTAATATAGACTTGCTCACTTCACGATTTATGTCTTTTATTTTACTGATCATCAACTCAGTCTTTACTGTTCCTACAGTAAACTAATTTTTGCATCATAATGACTAGAAATTGTCTGGAATTTCCTCTAGTATTCCCGTTAAATAAACCAAGCGCTAATTGTTATTGTAGGCATTGTCTATAAGTAAGTCACTGTTTAAAGCAAAATTTGCAGCAGAGAATGGTCAAAATGATTGCCAAGAGTTGAGGAATGCTGTTATCCAGGCCATACATGAAGCCGGTGGAAAGATTGATTATGCAGAGGTGAGGTACTAACGAGTAAGCATGTGTTTTCAGTAAATATGAGGACAGAAAATATTCGACATATAGATTACACTGATCCATAATCGTTAGCTCTTGTGCATCACAAATTTTTAATTATAAACACAAAGGAATAGAGACTTCACCGTAAATGTCTAACATGAAACTTTTGCACGTCTTCTGGCATTTAGCTTAGAAATGGAATTTACTGCATACGCCACTCTGTGACTCCTTTTCTTTAATATGATAATGTTTAAAAACAGCAGGTGTCTATGTCCTATTTATTGTTTTATTGACTCTTTCTAATGCTTAACTTGAGATAGAAAATGCAAAGCCATAAAGAGAAGAATTTTGTCTAGACTTGAGCTGTTGAACTAAATTATTCGTGCTTCCAAATTCTTAAGAACTACTTTGGGCAAATTAGTACATAGAGAAGCCTTTTGGAGTTCGAGAACTATATCACTTCAGTTTTGTTGACTAGAAGTTCACAAACTTGCATACTTAACGGTGCAAAAGTTTGAGCCAGCTCATTTCATTAGAATTGATATTTATCCAAGTGTATTTGTTAATCCCCAGCTTGGTTTGATAAAAATAGATTTTTAGTATATTCTGATAAAAGTTGAATTCCTTGAAATGTGTGGCCGAAAATGAGTTTTAAAAATTGGGACCAAACATGTGCTAAGTATCTAAGCTTTTAATACAAATAATTATATACCATTATGAATTGTTTTCATTTCTTGATGCCAAGCAGATTGTAGACCAAGAAAGTTTGGAAAAATTGGGAGAGATCAATAGACCTGCCGTGTTTTGCGTTGCTGCATGGTTTGGAAATGTCAGGTTGATCGACAACATCGAAATCAATGTTCAGTGTGCATCGAGTTTTTGACAAAGTTGCTTCTAAATTCTAATGGATATCGACAGCCTGTGACATCTCTCTATGAAGCGGGTCGATGTAGACTGTTAAAAGAGTTGCTAGCAATTCATTTTGAGGTTTTAATTTTCACCACTTGTGTCATTGACACTACCATTTCAATTCTTCTTCTCCATACATGTAACTTTGATGTCAGTGAGAAATATAGAACTTTTGCTGTTTGTTTCAAAACCATCTGTAGTCAGTGTCTCGGATTACTGCATGTTTTCAGCAAAAACTTAACAGTATATTCTTATAAGGTGGCCCTTCCTTTTCAATGTAAGAAGGCAAAGAGACCCAATTCCTGACTTGTTTATAGCATTTCACAATTCTTTACAATCCTCACTAACCATATTCAGATGATTCAGTCATACAAACTATACAAGCATGGCTCACAAAATACAGACTATGGCAGAGGCGTCGCCAGAAATTTAGGTAAACAAACAAGCTATTGGGTAGATGAAAGAACTCGGCCGTCGTCAATGACCAGCCTAGTCAAATGTAGTGGAATATTCACATGCTAGTTATGACATTTATGTTCACCAGACAGACAAGACTATGATTAGGATCAAGGCAATAATAGTGCCAACGCCAGTGACAAAACTGTTCTCAAAAAATGCATTCAAAAAAAAAAAAAAAAAA